ATTCAAGCTTAAATCTTATAACTTTGAGCGAAGGTATCTCGACGAGTACATAATCAAATTTGATGAAATTTTTTTTATTTGAATTCTACGATTCGTAGGATTTAAATAAAAAACTTTCATCGAATTTGGTTATGTACTTATCGAAATATGTTCGTTCAAAGTTAAAAAAATCTGCACGTCGGTCTAAAAATTCAAGCTACATCAAGTTCTTATAACTTTGAGCGAAGTTATCTTGATAAGTACATAATCAAATTTAATAAAATTTTTTTATTTGAATTTTATGGATTTATAAAATTGAAATAAAAAAAATTTTATTAAATTTTTTTTGTTTATAGAATGATTGCATGATTAGTATTTTTATTAAAGTTTTTGCAATCTGTAAATGGTTACAGTAATATATTAATGAGAGTACAAAAGGCTATATGTATAATTTTAGTTATTATCTATTTAAGGGTTTTATTTAAGTTTTTATTTATTGTTATATTTGAGACCTGTTTGTATTTAAACTCTTTGATTTTCAATATTTTGAAATTTTATTGAATTTGATTATATACTTGTTGAAATATTTTTGTTTAAAATTCAAAAAGTCTGCATATTTAAAATTTTAAATTGTTAAAATTTTTGTAATTTTAAGCAAATATTTTTTAAGAATTTTTAATTAAATTTGATAAATATTTTTTATTTGAATTTATAAATTTAAATAAAAATTTTTTATTAAATTTGATTATATATATATTTGTTAAAATATCTTTATTCAAAGTTTAAAAATTTTATATATTTATTTAAAAGTTTAAAATTTATAATTTTTTTTGGTAATTCTGTTTTTATTATTTAAATTGGAAACAATTATTATAAAATATACTTATAGTAATTTTTATTTATATATTATGTAACTGTATAATCACTATTTATTATATATTATATACATAATATGTAATCTTACTAATCTTACTTTGCATATATTTATACAACTTTTTAGATTCTAATTTAATTTCTACAAAATTTTATTCTATATAACCATACTTGTACAGCTTTTTAAAATAGAAAGTAAAGCTAAATTTGACAAGACTGATTTGTGTTTTGCTAGTAATATAGAAACAAATATATTTGTAGCAATTTTAACTTCTAATAGACAACTATGTTTAGAAAAAGTGTTAATTTGACAAATTCTGAGGCTAAAATTGATTTAACTAATTCAGAAGAGCATTTATATCTTTTAGCTAAAAAGCAAAGTTTTGCTGATTGGAAGAGTATTAAAAAGTAAGTTGAATACTGTTTTTCATTATAATTAATATTTTTTTTATTTGTATATATTAGTATAAGTATTACCTAATAAAAGTTAGTTTGACAAATATAGTTATGAATAAAGGTTTGCTTTTTTTTAGCAAAAAGTGAATTGAATAAAAATCTAGACATCAGGTATATTGTTGCTCTAAAGAGTATCATTATGAAGTAAAAAAAAATATATATATTAAAGAAAAAAATAAAATACATGAAAATAATAGATGCAAATATCATATTAATTTATATAGATAGAAAAGCAATAATCAAATATATATTTCAGATATAATCAGTAAGCATTCATATCTAATAAACAAT